ATAATTTATTCTTTTTCTAAATTGTTTAACTTTAGTGGTTTTTTGCTTTTCTTAGTATCAGTTTGATATATATAGTATTACAAAGTAGATTTTAGCATAGTATATTATAGTAGTATTAGTAATTATATATTTATTCATTATTGTATTTTATATTACATTTATTATTAGTCATTAGTTAATCGATAGTTATATTATATAGTAGATAGATAAAAGGATCTTAATTGGCTATTAGAAATGTGACACAGCCACATGATACTAAGTAATATCTGTAATGTTACTATCATCTTACAAATTCCAAGTACCCCTATACAAGTTTCATATATTCTAGTACCAAATTACTGTGCCAAGTGCCACAGTACAAGAATCCTAAGTATTCCCAACACAAACTCCAAGTGTCCCTGCATGAATCTCAAGTATCTCTGCACAAATCCCAAGTATCTTTGCACAGATCCAAGTGTCTAAACACAAGCCCCAAGTGTTTCAAGCATGAATGACAAATGATATAAACAATATCTCCAGTTGCCTCTGCACAGTTCTCACTACCCCAAGCACAGTATCATCTAATGTTGTTCAAACCTTCACTATCCCAACTACAATAATATCTGATGTTGTTTGAACTTCTACTATCTCAACTACAATGATATCTAATGTTGCTCAAACTCCTATTACCCAAAGTATAGTATCAAGTAATATTGCTTGAATCCCCACTATTCCTACTAGATAAAAAGATATATAAAGGATAGCTTTTACTCTTCCTTGCCAATTCTAAGTTCCTATACTTCAACCTAAACCCTTCTACCTTTACTCCTAACTTGTAAAAGTGATATTCCCCCTTTAGGGTAATTCCTATAGACAAGGTTGTTACTGTGTGTTTATTTAATAAAAGTTAATATATATACTGTTACTATTTTGAACCATTTGCCTGCTGCTGTGTAGTAAAGTGAACTACTACACCTCCACTCTGTATATATTTGCAATAGTCAATTACTGTACCAGGTAACCTTGTTACTTGGTTGTATTATACCCAAAAGGCTACAACCCTATAACAATAGTTATATATATTTTCTAGTATCTTATTGATACAGCTGGATTTATTGAGATTTGGATTATTAATCTGCAGTTTATTACATACTTTTTTTGAATGTACTTCTATAGTTAATTTAGTTTGTAACTTAATTATATATATTACCTGCAGGCTTTTCTATAGACATACCACTAACTATATACTAATATACTACCAGCTTGGTATTTTAAAAAGATCTAAAACCTTAAATTATTACATATAAGTATAATACCCATTATCTAAGTTATAATGTATAACTGTTTTAATAAATATTTATTAAGTACTCTTGAGATATCTATCTAAGATGTTTTAATTTTGATTAGATCAATCTTTTGACACAAATATTTTCTGTATGCATTGCATTGCTTACTATTTCAGTTTAGTTACTTAGTATTATCTTTTTAATCAAGTATTTTATAAGTTTGATACAGAGATATTGGTGCTATCTGTCTGCTAGAAACTTACTTGCATAATACTATTGTATAACCAAACTTTCTATAATACTGCTGTTATATGTAGTGTCTTTATCTTGAAAAGTTGGTCTCTTTTTAGGAATTCTTAATCTGTTCTTGTATTTTACTTTAAGACTTTCTACAAAACTCTGTATTTAATTTGACTTCTATTAGGTTATAAAGGTAAAATTTTAAAATTTTTGCCTTCAATCTAACTTGAACTATTGTCCTAGTCTATGAGAGATTAGCAACTTTACTGTTAAACTATAAGACCCAATCTCTTTTTTTTTAAATATTAATAATAAGATTATGCCTTTAATTTTATTAAAATTTATATAAAGTTTTCATAAAAAAAAGCTTGCTTTAAATTAAATATAAATAATAAAGACTCAGACATATAATCTGTAACTTAACCTTATTCTTTTTATTTTTTGTTTATATTTTTTATTATTTTTTTTTATATTTTTATATTTCTTTTTATATAGTTTTTTTTTTATAATCAGATTGATAATATCTTATTATAAAATGATAACCAAACAAGTTTCCAGATACAATATGATATTTGAAGTAGTGAATTAATATTACTCTTAGTTTTATCCAACTAATATAACAGGTAACTTGTAAATACTTATAAAAGTAATTACAAAATGTTAACTCTAATAGTAATAGGTTCAAAAATATTTATATAAAATGCAACATTCTAATAAAGAGTTAACCAACAAGACTACTAAAATTTAAAAAAATTAGTCAACAACTTTCCAACTAATTGATTCAAAAATTTAAAACAATTAATCAATCAAATCATCAACTAGTTCAATTCGTATATTCAGGCTAATTCAAATTGATTTCTTTAGTTTGATTGACTAATTAACAAATTTAGTTACATGATATGAAACTCGATTAGTCGCTTAGCAATGAAAAACTTGTTACCAACTCAAAACACTAATCTTATTGGTGTCGTTTATTATAAGAGATCTGATTGGTACATCTTTCATGATCCTGCTAGGGTAGCTATCTGCAATCACTCTCTTTGAGAACAATTTCTCAACAAAAACATTTAGAATTGTTTATACTTCTCACAATCATGGTGAAATTTCCATTTTCATTAATGGTTAGATAGATTTGTAACTGACTACGCAAGCATTTCTTGATCAGTTTGAGGTCCCTAACATGTATTATTAATTATTATTCTTTTTCAAAAAATGTTTTCATTCTACTGAAACATATTGCAACCGGGTAAACCACTATTTTCTAATGGGTCCAACCGTGCACCAGCAACAGTCAGCTTAATAAATAGCCTTGAATGACTGGCAACTGAGTAAGTCTCCGATCACACCACCTTCTTCTTTAAATATGAAGGAGTTTTTATTTGTCTTTACTTATTTATCCAGAAGAATTCTTGCACTTCTTTTCTTATCGTCTTGTTCTGAATTATTGAATCATTGATTTTTCCGAGACATTTTATATAATGCCACAGATTAGAGGCCTGCATTGGGTCCCGCAGCCCGGGCCTGAAGCAACTTTTACAACTGTGAATCAGAGCGGCCCAAAAATTTTCAAAATTTTATAATAGATTTTGCATGCTGGGCCAGGCTGAAGAAAAAATTTAGATATATGCGGGCCGGGCCGGGTTGGCAAAAAAATTTTAAACCTAAGTGCGAACCGGGCCGGGCCACAAAAATAGGTAATTTGCAGGCTCCTACCACGGATCATAATGAAATCGGATTAAAATGAAGTTGGAGATTTCTGTTTAACCTTCTAAAATCCATTTATACTTGTTTACTATAAATTCTACTCTTAAAGCTGACTCTTAACATTAAAAAAAAAAGCTAAAGAAATGCATCCCAAGATTTTGTATTTTTTTCTGTGGTTTGTCTATTTTACACTACACGAAATTTCATTTTAATCCGCCACATATAACAATTTATCTTTAAATCAGACGGTTCTATATTGCATAATTTTAAGAAATCAAGAACCTACCAATTTTCAGAGTTATTTTTATTAATATATTCGTGTTTCATAATTAGAGTTTTAAAAAAATTTTTTTTTTAAACGCAAGAGGATTTTTTATTTATAGGAAGAACGTGTAAGACAGGTAATAATAAATATTTCTGATGATCGTCAAACTATATATCGTAAAATCCTGTTTCTTTCTTGATGATTTTCAATGCACTTGCAATGTTTATTGTTTATTCTTTTTTGGGTTGAATCTACCTCAAAAATTTACGTAGTCTATTCTAAAGATTTCGCCATTAATAAAAAGCAAAACCTAGTTTCGAAACTGGTGAAAGGTTGCAAAAACAGCGAAAGGTGGCGAAACTTGTAAATTTGGCAAGACTTGTAAAAGTAATAAAAGAAAGGAAGCTCTTTCATGTAATCATAAGTCTCTTTGATATTATGCATCATTCATGTTATATTTGATACAATATACCCATTTTTCACGATCAGAATTTTTATAATCGTTAATTTTGATGCAAATAATTTTTAATGCTCACTCATGAATTACATAGGATTGTCCATTAGATCATTCCAAATTAATTAGAACATGCGTCAGCTTTTAAGAACATGAAATGGACGAAATGAAAATACATTGTATTGGCTAAACAAGTAATTATATTGAACACACTTTTTTTAAAAAAAATAATAATAACAGGAAATAAAGTCGCATAAGTATTTCCATAAACAATATCACTCCCAACCATGTTAATAAGGTAGAAAATTAATAACTTAGAGTTTGCTTTTTTGGTAACTTTTCTTTCAAATGCACTTTTTACTCTTTACTTGGTTGATTAGCATTCGATGCTAACCGTCAGAATTCTCTAATCAAATTTTAAGTATCGATTACGGATGGTTATGCTAGGGTCGTTCCCCAAAAGAGACTTTGAACTTAAAAAAAGTCAGCCAATCACATCAAACCGCGATATATAAGCACCAATTAATCAAAGATTATTTATTGCGCTTTTCAAATTTCACGTATCACACTGGGAATTAGAAATCTAAAATAAATGCAAATCTGGGATTGGTTGGAAATAATTTTTAGCCAATCATGTATTTAGATTTCTGATTCCTGATTACAGTAATAATAGGAGAGGCGTTCACAACGCGAGTTTCACCCTGTAATGTAATAATTATTAACTACATAGCAAATTTTTGGTTAACCAACCCTAATTATATTATAAATTAAAAAATATTTTTTACTTTCTAAAATTTTAAACCTTTCAAAATTTTCAAAATTATAAATTTATATTAAGTCAGTTTAGTCTAACCTTTTTTTAACTATCTTTTTTAACACATCTTTAAGTAACTGGCTTTTCTTAAAATATTCAGCAATTATAACAAGTCTAAGTTTTTAAAAAACTATTAAAATTTCTAATTTTGAAATTTCATGTTGACGAAAAAGTACTATACTTGATCACAACATTACAAGTATATATAAATAATTTAAACTGTGGTCCGAACAAATAAATACAAAATGTCTAAAGCAATTATAATGCTAGAAATTCTTCTTTTTTATTATAATATTCTCCAAACCTTAATTTCGCATATCCTATATAGTCAAAATTAATTTCTGAGAATTGGGCTTGAACCTAAAAAGATATCTGTTAGTATGCGTTCATTCCACTAACACTTTGGTTTGTATATTAAAAAAAAAATGGAGACATTTACCAACCCCCACACACCCCAGTAAAAATGGGATGCTAATGCAAATTTGTTGACTTCTCGGTATAATTCATTAACTTCTTCGTCAGTAATTGTGGCACCTATTAAAAAATGCAAACATATATCGGTTTATATCTTGTTATTGTGAAACTCACAAACGAATAGACTTACCCGGCTTATATGAACAAAGATAATGTCTCAGCCATTTTTGTTGAAATTCTTTAGATGGGTACAAACTATAGTCGCACTCAAATCCTAAAAATTTACAGATGACAACCATTAATCAGAAATTACCAATCAAATATCCTATTTTCACGAACTTACCTGCAAACTCATTAAAATGATTTGCAAGGTCAAATGATCTATAATTCATTGATCCATATTCAAGATCTATGAACGAGATTTTGTTTATGGCTTCATCATAAATGATATTTCCACTCAAAAGGTCATTATGACAAAATACAACAAGTGATCCTATCTTTACTAATTCATTCTCTAAATTGGTCAACTATATAAACAATTCGTTTATTAGCTATTAAAACCATTTTGTGTAAATTAGTTCATAAAAAATTTAAAACATACTTCATTAAAGAGTTCTTCTAATTTAAAATTTTTTTGAAATTTCTCATCAGTTTTTGGATCGGCATACGATCTCGGTACTAGCAATTTTGATAATATATAAAAGGTAATCTGTAAAATTATACATGAAGGCATTGACAAACTTTGGACATGAAATGTTACCTTCTTTTAACCATTTCCATAAAACTGGAAATAATGATGATTCATTCTCATTAGAAATGTTTACTTTATGCCAAACTGCCATATGTTCTGCAATAAGCAGGCATATATGCTGATTACTCATGTCTGGTACGGAAAGTGCACGACCAGGAGTATAACCATATACAATTCCGTTGTTAAATCGGCAATAAACTTCACGGACTAATCCATGCTTAGATAAAGACACTATATTCTATAGTCGAGGAATAAATTATAATGTATTACAAGCTTAAATTCAAAACATGCATTAGAGAACAGAAATGCTTACCGTCGTTTCCATTACTCTGTCAATAATGACATCTGACTTTTTACCATAAGTACGGATCAATACAGTAACTTGGAAATGTTTATTTGTACATTTTACAACTACCATTAAAAGAAAATTATTTCGTGTTATTTTAATATTAGAGTTTAATAAAAAATGGTAACTTACGTTTATTAGTGATTCCGCTTTTAAATTGTACAAGCTCTAAATCTTCTTTCTTCCAAGATTCGAACAATTTCAAAGCAACCTCTCCAGAACTTTCGAGCAAGTTCGCAATTACTACAGTATGGTCAATAAATTTAATGTCTTTATAACAAAAATTATTAACTTCCATTATTTTGTGGTTTAAATATATGCAATGGGTAATTATCGGTATGGTAAAAAAAATCTTTTCTTGATTATCGGACTGATCCGTGATGATTTTTAGATACGTATAAAAGCATTTTGAACAAAAATAGTAACACTATGAAGATCATATCAAAAACGTAATCTGGACTGTTCACACGCGTGTTCAAAATTGTGAAACAAAACAAGCATACTTACGCGGTTGTTTCTGATTCCTAGTTTTAGATGACTCAAAAATTTGTTTATAACCCCAGTTTTTACATTCTAATTACTGTTGGGCGAATCAGACCAATTTGACCAATCTGGTCAAAGTATTTGTACTGGTTAAATTGATCAAATGGCATATTTAAATATAAATTTTTTTTTTTTGCTTTTACTAAGGCTGATGTTAACGGTGGTTATTTTTTTTTTCACTTAGGTAGTTATGCTGGTGTACTTTTATTAAGAAGAATATTAACTATTGCTAATAATATGAGCTTAATTTCCAAGTTTTAATTTTTTTGGCTGCTTCTAAGAGTGCCTAGAAGTGATTTACTGCACTAGGCAGTAACAAGTACCACTTAGAAGGTTATTTTTAACTATTGTTCTACAATAGAATATTACCAATCTGATAATACTTTCTTGTAGAAAAGTAAAAGAAAGAAAAAAAAAAATATTAAACTAAACTAAAAAGGATTATAGAAAGAAAAAAAAAATAAAAAATGTTGAAGAGCATACTTTATTTATAATCATTTTAGTAAGATTATTAATATTTTAAACCTGTATTAAGGATTTAATTACATTTTAATCTGTACTAAAGAGATAAAAATTATATATATATGATTTATGAATTACTATATATCTTTAATTTAATATAATCCTTTAACTTGAATTTTTTTTATTTTTTATTACACTATATGTTAGGTTGTATGTATAATTGTTATATTTTTATTACATTATGATACAATACATAATCATTTGAAAAAGAAAATAATAAACAATATTGATTTTTTGTAGATAGGAAGTCTAAATCCTTATTTTTAAATGAAAAAAATATATTGAAAAAAATAAGAAAATTGACAAATATAATATGTGAAAAGTCAAACCAAGAAGAGTGATTTTAGTTGTTTGTTTTGTTACTAAGCTTCTTTTAATCTTTAATTAAAGTTTTTCTCTATTGTTTTTAGAATATTCTTTTGGTTTAGATATTAAATATGCCAAGAAGTCTATTCACAAAAAAGATTTGGCCTTAATACAAACTACCAAAAGATTAGTTTATAGTTTAGTTTTTTTATATATTTCTGGTTTGTTAACAACAATTTGCTTTATATATGAGTGCAGAATCAAAGGTGTTGTTCACTTAAAGACTTAACTCCTCAAACTGTTTTGATGCTAGTTTGGTTTAAGTAATTATCAGAGAGAGTTATTAATAAATTATATATTATTTTTGTTAATAGTAGTTATTACTTTTATTTGTATTTTAATTATAAATATATATATATAACTTATATAAGAATAAGTATATAACTAATTATTTGTATAACTTTTTTAAATAGTTTATTTAAAGATTTTATATTATCTGTTATATTTGTAATTTATTAAAAAATTATTGTCCAAAGCATAGTAAGGACTCTATAGTAGAGCAATTGACATGATTTTGTGTTGAATTTCAGTTATATGATCAAATAATTGCTAATTAAACTATATAAATTAACACGAATCAGCCCAACAAACTAAAATTTGCTAATAATCAACATGTACTTATTTTTAGCTTCAGACATTAACAGTACCTGTTTTTCTAGTTTATTTAAATATTTTGGTTTTGTATTATATTAAATAAGTAATTTCAAAGCTTTTGTTTTGAATGTTTTTTTGTTAACTAATTTATTTAGTATACAGTTTTTATTAACAGAATTAGTTTTTATAGAATTTATTTTATTATTATTTTTTTTTGATATTAAGGTGACTTTTTGGGTCTTTTTATATTTTTAAAAATATAGTTTTGTGAAAGCTATTACAAAAAGAATATACAATTGTTACTTATATAATTTTTTATTTTACTTATTTAAGAAGCTCATTTAATTTTTTCTATTAATTATTATATCTAATACTTTTGCTTAGATATTCTATTTAAACTCTTTAAACCTGTTTTATATTAACTTTACCAGATCAAGTCTGGATTTTTATTTTAATCTTAAAACATTTTATCTTTAAGATAATTTTTTTAAAATTTGCTATATATTCATTTTTGCAGTTGGCCTAAGTATTGCTATGGCTAAATCAACATTTGTAATTAAAGCTGATTATTAAATTGTTATGTTCTTACAGAGTTCACTCAAATTCTAACATCTACTTCACAGCATATCTATATTATTTTAATATATTTTTGTTTCTTTTATCAAACTCACAATTTAGATAGCTTAATAGAACTATGACTAGTTTATTAATATATCAGATTGGTTTAATATTCTTTTTTTCTAATTCAATTTAACATTCTGATTAATATTAGGTATTTTACCTAATTATTAAAAACAGTTGCTGTAAAATAGATAGAAAATTCAAATTTTATTGTTAGTAGTTTTTGAACTTATAACTTGCTACTTAGAGAGTTGACAACTTATCTATTTTACTAAATTGTTATATTTTTTTTTATTTAAATTTTAGCATTGTTTTTATAATATATTTTTAATACTTATAAAATATTTTTGTTTTGTTCTTAGGTTTCTAATTTAAATAATTTAATAAAACTGTAATTTGTTTTTAATATATTAAGTTTAGTTTAATATTTTTTTATTTTAGTCTAATTTTAGTAATCTAATTAATAGTATTTCTTATTTAAAGATTTTTGTACATTTAATTCTTTTGTATTGGTATTCATTTTTTAGATTTAGTCTTTACAGTAGTACTGTTAAAAATTTGTTATTTTTTTATTTAAATCTTTTTAAATAGATTTTGTTTTTTTTAGTTTTACAAATTTATATAATTATAAAAACTTAACTTAAGTTTGCATTATTTAGTATTAGTTTGTATTTTTCTGTATAATTAAGATTATATAAATATTTATAACCTATCTGTTATATTAATGTAATCATAGCTACAGGTATTTTATCTTATCTGATTAACAGAATATTGTTATTATAATACAATATACTTTACAGATGATTGTTTAAATTTTTATTATTGGTGAGTTTTAAACTTATAATTTACTATTTAAAGATTAACAACTTATCTATTTTATTAAATTATTATATTTTTTTCTTCTAGTGAGTTTGGTAACCTAGTTGGTTATATGCTTTCTTTTATATATATTTGGCATCTAGTTTATTAACCTGTTTTTATAAAGGTATTTTGTAAGCTTCAACCAGTCTAATAGTATTGTTAAAAGTCTATACTACCTCTTTATTTAGAAATTTTCAAGTGAGTTTTTATTATTTTGGTTTTTTAGTCTTTTATATCCTATATATTATTATACAAATCTATATTAAATATTATATTTGCAAACTAATTATAAGTTTTGTTTATTTAAATTTTTTGTATATATAAGTAATTTTGTATAACAAAGATATTTTTAAGCTATATTTATTTAAAATATCTAATATATATTAATATCTTTAGAATTATTTTATTATTAACAAGAAATTTACTAAAATTTTTATTTTTAATATATAATTAGATTAATACTTACAATTACAGATATTATCTATTAAACTGCTATATTATATTATTTATTTTATAAACTTTACTAAAATTTTAATATTAATTTTTTTAATATAATTTTTATTTTTTTTTTTTTAAATCTTTGACAGTCTTGCCAAAATCTTTTATAAAAAGAATTGCATATATAACTATACAAATATTAGTTTAATCTATAGATTTAATATCTACTGACTACTGTACAAGCAATTAGAAGTGACTTGCTACATTAAAGTAAGTTTATACTTACTACTAAAAGGCTATTCAGACTAGTCTTTAAGGTCATTCCAGTAAGGTCTCTTGTTATTATTAATTAATTTTTTAATTGTATTTCTTTATAAATCTTCAAATTTTTAATTTTTTAATTTTTTTATTTTTTTTTATATCTTTTATTTTTTTAGAATTCTTGTTTTTTAATTTATATAACACTTTATATAATAGTTCATCTTGTTGTTCTACTACTTTATTTTTGTTTTTTTTTCTTTTTTGTACTAATTTCTTGACTTTTCTTTTATTCAGATATTTTATTACATTATTTTTTTCAAATTGTTTTATAAATTTCAATTTTTTTTTAAAAAAAGTAACTTTTTTGGTCTTTTGACTTTTATTAATGACTTTTTTGATACTGTAATTCTATAAATCACTACAGAAAAATGTACAATTTGCTATACATGTAACTTTTTTATATTACCTATTTATATAGTTTGCTTAAAAGTTCCTTATTAATTACTGTACCTAATACTCTTGCTTGGATGTTCTATTTTAAATTCTCTAAACCTGCATCTGTATTAACATTACTAAGTCTTACCCAGGTCATTATTTTAACTTTAAAACTATTTTATTCTTAAAGTAAACCTTTTAGAGCCTTTTATATTTATTTTTATAGATAACTTAGTATCATTATAGCAGAACTAATACTTGCAGTCAGGGCTAGCTATTAAACTATTATGTCTTTGTAGAGTTTACTTGAACTCTGGTATTTACTTTATAGCATATTTGAAATACTTTAGTATACCTTTTTCTATTCTTCAAACTTTCAATTTAAATAGCCTAATAGAACTATAACTAGTTTATTGATATATTAAGTTAGCTCAATATTTTTTTCTTCTGATCTGTTTTGGCAGTCTGATTGGTAGTACCTTTAGAACTTCCAACTTAAAGGTTTTTATTTGTTTGAATACTTCAATATTAGTATCCATTTCATAAGACTAGCCTTTACAATAGCACTGTCAAAAATCTATACTATCTCAATTTTAACAAATTTACATGCCTACAAGAACTTATCTAGAATTTGTACTATTTAATGCTAGTTTGCAT